TGATCCGGCGCGCGTTAGATCCCTGTGGGCGCACTGCGGTCTGGGCTGCGCCTGCAGGGGGGCGGCCGGAGGTGTTTCTTGGCACTGGGTGCCTGCCAGCCTTCTCTCCCCCTTCTGATAGAGAGAAAGGGCCAGAAAAAGTGGTGGTACATTTTGGGAAAAGTGCTGCATCAAAACAGATAGGAAATGAAGATGATTGATGGGATAGAATTCACAGTTCCTCCCAGGAACTGATATCACTCCGGAAAGATGCTCACACTTGTATGCTTGCCTGTCTGCTATGAGACAGTCTCCTTAACGCTTCTTTTTTAATTTTTTACCTTCGTTTTTTTCCTCAGTCATAACTGGCTAGAATTATTTGATACAGGGAGTAAAAACTTTGTTTCCATTAGAGGGTTGAAGGTCAGCCAGAGCCCTTATTCTGCTGTTCAGATGCTTTCTGAGAAAGCTTTCTGGCTGTCAGAAATGAGCCCAGACCTGGTGCTGTGTTTTTCTTGTTCTGCTGTTCTTCCCACTGCATCTGAAGCAAGGCCTGAGGTGTCGGCCTGCTTTCCAAGCAAGTCTGGTTCTTTTCTCTTTTTCTTTTTTGTCTTTTTTTTTTTCTTTTTCTCCTTTTTCTCTTCCTTTTTGGCTTGTTTTCATGTTTCCAAACCTAACAGTAGCAGACGTATTAAGGGCTTTTTGGAGCACATTTGTCCCTGTCCAAGTCTTCCAGTTAAATGCTTGCCAAGTGCAGTATTTTAGGCTTTGCAGCGTTTTGCTTGGGTATTCTGTTTGGCTTTTCTTCTGTGTGTTTTTGATTCTTTTTTTTTTTTTTTAAATTGCAAAGCTCCAAAACAATTTTTTCTTAGTAGGATGGCGATAGCTTTGGAGCATCTAGGAGAAAGAAGATTATCTGCCAGCTTCTTGCAATTCCCATGTCCAAAGCTGCTGTAGTAAACTGGAAACCACACATATTTGAGTGATTTAAATATATCAATACCAAAGAGGTAGACAAATTTTTTACAGGACTGTCAGAATTCATTTGTAAATAATGCGGAGCCTGGTCAGAACTGAGTAATAGTTTCAACGAATGACCTAATTTCTATTGGTGACTTGAGGCCTTCAAGTATTAGAAAAGAGCCTACAAGAATGTGTAATATCACAAAATACAAGATACTGTACAGATTAATAACTATTGTACAGATTAAATAACTGTAACTAATTAATTAACAATAAGAGATTAATTAACTGTAACTAATGTACAGATTAATAACTATTTGTAGTGTGAATCCAGGAACCCTCCAGCAGAGTAATGGGAAAATACCTGGATTTATTAGTCAACAATGAAAGCAGGCTGCCAGTTTAACGTGGTTGTGAAAAAGCTGAGTGTGACAGTGGTGTGCACACAGCCAGGCTTCTGGGTGACTGGTGAGACATTACTGTATCCAGTTCTGATAAATCATGTCCAGGAAAGAGCAGTTTGTGCACAAGTACTTCCAGGAGGGTTACTGGAGATGAGAACAAAGCTTATCTACAAGAGGCTCTGGGAATATTTGTTTGATTAACCTAGGAAAAGCAAATGCAGGGAAGGGTTATGAGTAACCAGTAAGGCAGGGTGGAGTCAGGCTCAAGTGAGTAGGCATTTAACCTAATGAGCAACACTCATGGGAGAGCACAGATCTAAACTGATAATAACTAGATAGAAAACTAAGCCCTGTCTCAGTGCAGTGAGGGTTTCGTCTTCCGTGAAGAACAGTGGACTTATCTAACAGGCTTTAAAATGTGTTGTGCATCAGAATAGGAAGATTATATGTAATTACACAAAACAGATTTAAGTGATCAATGTTGGAGGGAGGAGTTTTGAGCCTCCCCAACTCATCCTGAGACCAGAGCAACTTCCTGATGTTCAGCAGAAAAAAAAGCTGTCAACTACTGGTTCATGATGGGGAGGGTGGGAAGGCCACAGTTCAGAAAGAGGTACCAGAAATGCTCCCACTAAGGAGATTTACACCCAAGTCTTCAGTCTCTTAGATTGGATGGGCAGCAAAATGTTATTTTACTTAATAGTGTATGCAGGGACCTAAGAAATGTAGAAACTGGAAATACAGAAGGATAGTGTATATAGAGTATGGAGGATGTAAAAGAAAATGTAGGATGGTCAACAGGAGGAGGTGCTGGATGGTGTGAGTGTTCCTGAGGATCTTGCCATATCTGTTCTGAGGCTGAACATCCATATCTGTTCTGAGGCTGAACATCTTGTCATTGCCCAGTGCTGTTTTTCTGAACTTCATTTTTGATTGTAACTCATCTGACAAGAACAACAGCACTGAAAATTCACCTAATAAGTGCTGGAGGCTTAGCCCTAAAAACAAATACAGTGTCAGTTATGTGGAGTTATTTAGAGTGAGGTGGAGAACATGGGGTCATTTAGGTCCTGCCAGTCTGTTTTTATTGCATGTTGCTTATACTTCTGTTCTTCCTTACTGAAGAACGGGAGAAAAAAACCAAGGCAATAAATTGCAGGGAAAGAGAAACTTCCTGCCATAAAATATTGAATCGGGCAAGGCTTGCCAGGCAAATATCTCAGCCCACAGCATGCTTTCCCAGCGTGACTTCCTTTGTAGCTTCTCACAGGAGACTCCAGAGTCATCTAGTCCCCCTGTGCTGTACAGCTGGGCTTTTGCCGGCTTCCTAGGATTTAGAAACTTCAGGTTTATTGCTCACTTCTCAAGTCTTTTTATGTCTTGTATCGAGCTGTCTTATTTCAAGCTTCAGTGGCCTGCGGCTTACCGCACTCTTTTATGGTAGCCTGGAGTTTCTCAGTAAATATTGCATTTTTATCTTGCACAGCAACCAACACACTGGTTTGTAATTTTTTTGCTAGCTATTGTAGCCTGTGACTGTGCATTAGGGTATGTATTTAAAAGAGAAAAATGGCCTCTTTTATCTATTTCCATTCTAGAGCTAGGGTTTGCCAATTCTTCACTGTTAACAGTATCAGTCACAAGATGTAGCAGCATGAAAAATGGGGGAAGCTGTAGTTCCCTCCCTCTGAGAGCTGATGATGGGCTTCTGACCCTGAAGTGCAAGAAAATGTGTGAGATAAAGCTGTCTGTGCTACAAACTGTTCTGGTGTCCATTTGTTTTCCATGGTCAAGTGTTCTTTTAAGTGCTTATTAGTAGAAGAACATGATTTCCTGTCCTTGCTTACCATCGTGTCTTTACATTCAGGCTGTCAATTTCTCCTCACTGTGTGTCATTGCAGTATTTAGGAAGTGTTAAGGATTAAGATTTTGTTTAGTCCTTAATATTTCTTGCTAGATAAATTGTCTTGTTAGTAGTGTCCTTAAAGTTGTTAGCAAATTGAGGATGCAGCTAGCTGCAGTGGAAGGTGGCTGACTTGGCTTATCCTGTTCTTAGCACTTTAGCACCTTACCAGATGATCAGACTGGTAATTTCCCTTTCACACTAGCAGTAAAGTTGTCCCATTCCTTTACCAAGTGCAAAATTATAAATGTTTGACACCTTTGTTTGCTTTCTAGGTGAGAGCAGGAACTATCTGGATGTACCTGTAAAGGTGAAGGAGGCCGGACCTCCTCTGTCATGTCTGGCATCAGTTGGGTGGCCACTCAGGTCGCCCTAGAGCCCATCAGTGACAGCCAGCACCATCTCCAGCCTGCTGGAGGGACGAGGATTTGGGATTTAACTTACCACACTGGAAGAGCATGTTACAGAAGCAAGGGTTCATTAACCTCTCTGCTTGGGGCTTTTTGTTTTGTTCTTAAGCAAATCTAAGCCCTTGTTTTGGAAGGTACGGTGAGTGTGCTTTGGTTTTGTAGTGGTGAAGCCTTGTGTGAGCTCTGAGTGAATGACTTTTGTCTCTGTGTCTAGCCTCACTGAAGCCGGGGTGCCAAGATGAGATAGCAGCCTCTCCACAGACCCCACTGTAAGGAAAAGTCAAAATCTCCAGTGATGAATTACAGTCATCATTACTTGTCTGCATTGGCTGGAGCTTGCAGTTCCCTGTGTGCAGGGATTCACTCCCCTGTGCCATGCTGGGCTCAGCACCCTAAGCTGGTAAATTAGGCTGATCTTCCAGGGTAGCAAGTGTGATGGTCGTCAGTATTGCTATGCTTTAGTTCTGGAACCTGGTTTTGGGAAGAGAATTCACAAAGCTGAGGTAAGCTCTAGGAAATTCTTGGCAAAACTGGGACTTAAGCACTTGGATTCCCAGTGGCCAAGCATGCTGAGTGAGGAGATTTTAAACCAGATGATTGGAATTCTTTGGGCAACTCTTTTCTGCTCAGTTTTTATTGCTTATAGCCTTCACTTAAGCACATTTAGAGTCAGAGAGCCAAAATCTGAAGTGGGCTCTTGTACTTCCTGTGATCCATAGGGGTGAAGGCAGACCCTGGAAGCTGGCTCTGTTACCTCCCCAGCTCTGCCCAACCCCACACTGCCTTTCTCTCTCTGACACCTGTGCTGGGCCATTTCAGCTCACTGAATTTGTAGAAAGTGAACCCAGACTATGAATACAAATAGTTTTATAATTCCTAGCTGCCAGGGGCTCAGCCATGAAAGAAGAACAGAGTTAACTCTGTTAACTCTCACAGCGTTAACATCTTCAACTTAAAACAGTTTAACCCCCACCTATTGATTCCCAGGAGGCTGTTTTGTGTTGTGAGGGAAAACAAATGAGATTACATTCCAGCAGAACGAGATTCAATTAATGTGTTTTCCCTTACAACTAGAGAGGACAACCAGTGTGAACACAATTACTGTGGCTTCACCAATACATACTCATTAAATTGCTGTACCTGCCACTTTCAATTGTGTGATCCAGTCCCCAGGGTTTGGGTTCTTCCGGTTTTTTACAGTTTGAAAGAGATGGAGACAATAGGACTAGACATACCAAAGTCTTCTCTCAGTCATAATTTAATTTTCTAACCAGAAAGGAGCATTAAGGTAGCTTCAGTCCCATGGGTTTATTTCAAAACTTGATAGGTCTGCAGATCCCCACAGCTTTCTCATTATTGATCTTTCCTAACACTGCAGGTTAACTGTTAAAGGAAGGGGATCACTTGTTGAGGGGTAGGAATGATGAGTTTTTAACTGTTTTATGCAGTCAGTTGCCCATCCCTGTCGTGTATTAAGGTCATTGTGTTTAATTGAAGATGGTGGTTAAATTAAAAAAAGAGTAATTGCTCCTGGCCCCTCTTTTTACTAATAGTGGAAATTTGATAAACCATTCCCCAAAGTGCCTGGAAATCAAAGTGAAAATAGTATGAATTAGCTTGTGACCTGATTTTTAGTTATTTTATTTTTGTTTTCAGTGGTTTTGGTGGACTTTTGCTGATGTATTATGGCATTTCACAACAAAGTTTTCCTTGCTTCCCATAAAGCAAATGAGAAACCTTGATGGTGCAATTAATTTTAATTAAAACTTCCACTTAAGTATTTCTTAAGTTTTGTAAGAAATACTCATCACTAATAAGTTAAATAGCTGTTGTTCAGATGTAAAAACAGGGGGAGTCAATTTCAAGGTACAAAAAACACAGCAAAATAAACCAAAACCAGGTAATTTATTATTCTATTTGACTCTGCCACTCTTTCTTCTTATGATGTTTAAAAATAAATCAATTTAATCACCAGACTTAAGGGAAAGCTAAGATAATGATAGTCTGTTTTTATTAAGATACAAAAGTTTTGCAATATCTGTCATAAGTCAGCCTTTTTTTTTGAGTGAGACTTAAAATAAGTCCTTCTTTATAGTAATAGAATAATGGTAATAGTAATAATAAGTCCTTCTTTATAGTATAGTAATGGTATAAGCATCAGGGACATTATACTTGTAGACATCAATAAATATTACAGTTACAATAATATTTGCTTGTTATGTGGTTATTTTTTGCAAAATATTCAGAACTGAAATTGTAAAGTCTCTTAATTGCTCTGAGTTACACTGTAAATTAAAATAAGATTTCCAATGTGCTTTTCACAGAAAAAGGGGAAGCATTTAATCTTGATTTCACATAATCCAATCATAACTTGGATGAATTCAATTTAGTACATGAACTAAAACCGAGTAGGTGATTTTGGTGCATATCCAAAGGGCTGGGTTTGTTCTGAATATTTGGATTTACATCATCTGTCCTGGTGGAGTTGGTTGCTGTGCCGAGCAAGGCAGTCACAGTGGGAAGGGGCTGGGGAGGGTCCCTGAGGAGAGGCAGGTTTAAGGGGCAGATAGGGAGAGGCAGGTTAAAGGGGGCTGCTCACTGCCTGGCGGGGTGACAAGACCCAGCTGCTGCTTTGCCAGCAGGTGCTGACCCTGTCTGTGTACTCAAGGAGGGGGACAAATGTTGAGTAACTTGTCTCTTTCTACATGGAGGTCTGGAGTTTCTACTTGCAGGAGCTTGTGGAGCCCAACCTCTTAATTAGTGGAAGTTTTAACTTAATGCTTCAGGATCATGTGGTTTATATATGATCTTTATCAACATAGGAGCTACTGACTGCTGGCCTTCAGAGATAAACATTAAGGGCCTGAAAATAATTGCCTCCCAACATTGACTATTGAGTTTGCCTTTTGCTCTTCAGTTATTGTTGCTTTTTGCTGCTTTGTGATAGATTGTTCAGATTTTTTAACAGAAACTAGGAATCTCATGTTTTTGATGCCAGTAGCTGATGCTTTAAGACAACCCAATATCATAAATTTATGATAAAATCATCCTGAGGCTAAAGAAAAGATTCATACGAGGAAAATGTAAAAGGAGCTGAGTTTGTGAGGTGTACAAAGCTCTCATACTCTTCTTTAGGTCTTCAGTGCTGTATGTGAATGTAACACTGTGACTACAGTTTTCAAGCAGCCTTTCAGAGGTGCGTTACAGTGGGAGGTCTGTGCAAGCAGGAGATCTGCATATCCTACTCTAGGAACCACAGCTCATTTGCTTGAGGAAAATAATACTAAGAATTAGCTCCTGCCCCTCTTGGCATTTTCTCTTGGGCCTTCAGTGAGAGCTGATACAATTACAGGTAGATGCTTGCGAAAAAAATTTGGGAGCAACCCACAACGCACCAATCAAATCCATAGTGTTAAATTTTTCCAGAATTTTGGGACTTTCATATAAATCTGGCCCCACTGCACAGAAATTAACTTTATCAGGATAGCTTTTCTGGGACAGATTCCAACAATATTTCCTTGTGGGTTTGGGGTGAACACACTGGGCATATTAGATGACTGAGGAAAATGCTAGAACTACTCCATGAAAATCTTCTCAAGGTGGTTAGTGTCTAGTCATGACTCTGGAAAAAGAAATCATCAATTAGGTGATGTATTTTTATCAGGTAATATGATGGCTTTCTCTATGCAGAGGGAGACATGAACCAAATTAGTGGTACTGCAGCCCTCTAATGTTCTCTTAAACCATACAAATCAGCCACCACCTATCTAGTTAAGGACTAGCTTTTCATAAAATACTCTTATAAGCAAAGTTTTAAAATTATTAAGAGGATGCTGGAAAAATTGGTGTAGCATTTTAAAAAGTGATAATTCAATTTGCATATGTTGTCTAAGTACCTCTGTGTGTGTGTATGTAGTTAAGACAGAAAGGAGATTAAAAAAAAGTCTTTGCTGCAGTGTTTTCCATGGACTTGAAAACCTTCAGCCAGTGTCTCAGTTCCTATAAATTGGCATAAACTCCAATAGCTTAAAGCTGTGATAGTTTATGTGACCCAATGAGGTGACCTCTGGGATTTGTAGGACCACTGTGTAAGTACCAGAGCCTTCAACCTGCCAGGGTCAAAATAAATAATGCCTTTGGTACAGTCCTGTCTCCATGCTTACATTTTACTCCTTGATTTAAGCAACATCATGTGAAGCAGAGCAGGGCTAAGGGAACCTTCAGCAGCTCTGCACCTGTCCCCAGCAAAGCCCTCACCAGGCTGTTGCCATTTTCATCTCGCAGATGGAAACTGATGAAGAGAGAAGCTGTGTCCTTACTGTGGCACTAAAAATGCACTTTGTGGACAAAAGAGGCAGTGGCAGAGCTTTCCAGAGCTAAGTGAGGGGCAAACCCATCTGAGGAACATCTGACATGACAAGAAAGCTTTGTTCCTCCAAGCCCCTCACTTGCCTATGGAGTGACACAGAAGCAGGTGGAGAAATGCTCCTGCAGTGCTGCAGCTGTGCCCCTGTGCCCACACAGATGCTTCCTTTGTGTCAGGACAAAACAAATTAAATGGTCTCCACCTCTACCTGTGCAACGTGCCCCTCTGCAGGGGTGGGTGGATGGACACTCAGGGGTGGAGCTGGGCAGGCTAAATTTTTATGGATGTAAATGCCTGAAGAAAATTGTTCTGTTTAAAATTGTTTTCTTTTTCCCCTGAGATAGAAAAGGCAGTGATTATAAATGTTGGCACTTTTTGCCAATCCAAGCTTTATCCAGAGGAAAAATGCAGCAGTCTGGGAGGTGCCAGGGATGTTCCTGGCAGGAGTAGCAGAGCACAGAGCCATTCTTCCCTGCAGTAGGTTTGCTGCACTAGCAGGCATAGCTGCAGGCTGCTAGCATCGTAAACCTCCAGCTACTTTCATTTCATCAAAACAAATGCAAATTTTGCCTCTAAACAGATATAAAATGCTCTAAAAGAGTCTTGGGCTTTTTCTGTCATGGGAAAGACGCAGTGAGCTAAGTCCTGTGTCCTGTGCCCGTGTGGGTAAATGTGTGTGGAGAGACACCAGGAAAGGCAGATAAGCAGTTGCTGGGAGGCTGGCTGGAAGCTGAGAGAAGAGCTGCATGTGAGCCTGTGTCACCAGCATTAAATTAATGGGATGGGCTTAAGAGCCTGAAGCACACAGATGCAGCCAGGTCTCCGTTGTGAAGGAGAGGGAGCTTTGGCAGCCCCTTGGCTGAGCAGCGACCATCAGTGGCCAAGGGACACTCAAGGGCAGAAACAGGCAGGTGTGTTGCAGGCAGGCTTTGTCTCACCTCAGCTGCCTCTGAGATCTGTAGGTGCCCTGTGGAGCTAATCAGCCTCCCAAACCCCCAGAACTTCTTAATTTTACTGATTTAAAAATAGCCTCAGGCTCCCTAAGGGGCTGCAGCTGAGGAGACTCCCTTGTAACCCAGCTGGCTGAACAGGCCCGGTAAAACTCACCTGCTCCCTCAGGTCCTCCACAGGGATGGTTTCTTCGAAGTGTGGTAGAAAAAGACATTTTTACATTTCTGTCTTTGCATGTGCTCCAATTCCTCCATGTTTTGACAGAAGGAAACTTGGCACAAGGGGATGGCTATAGGGGATACCAGTGCTGGCCTGCAGCAGAGGTTTGGGAGAAGAAATCCTAAGAAGGAGAAGCCAACAGGACTTACTGTAGATGCCACAGACTTTCCTTCTTCATACTTACTAATTTCTCAGAGAGGTCCTGCTACTTCTGATGCCATAGGCTAGGGGACTTTGGGTTTTATCTATTTACAGTGATGCCATTTTTCATGTGTAGGAGCTAGTGAAGATGGCTAGTGACGCTGATTGGATTCGGGCACAGGATGTATTGAAGGAATTAAGACACATCCCGCAGTCTGTGCCTCTGAATCCTCTCCTTTGGGCCTTCCCATTGCCTTCAGCCCTACCAGAAGGCTGTAGAATGCTCCTGTGGTAAATCTAGTAATCTGCTGGACAAAGCACCAGGCATCTGAGAAGACCTTCTGTGGCTTGTTGACAGCCAATCTAAATATCTCTGCAGTGATTGCCACAGACAGACACACATTTTGGGATCCTGAAAGAAAAACATTGTTTAAAAAGATGAGTACTTCAATTTCTGTGAGACAGGGTACTTTTCACTGGTGAGCAGCTACCCACAGCTCCTGCAGAGCATGGGCAGTGTCCATAAATCCACACAGTAGCTTCTCCTAACACCCTGCTCAAGTAACCCAGCCTGAGCCCATTCCTTTCAGCTGTGCATCCAGCTCCAGTAATAAGTGTTTAGTCCCAGTAAAGCCCAACTGCTGCTTCAGGTCTTGCTTCTGAGGGACCCCACCACAAACTCTGGCTGTTTCAATTGGTATCAGCCCCTGTGAATGGGAGCTTCTGACACCATGATGCTGCAGCATGCATTTCTAGGTAAAACTCACATTGGGAAATGTTTACATTACTGAGCAAACTAAGTCCAAGTTCTACAAATGCCACATCTTATCAGAGCCATTTTCTTTATTAGTTTTATTGCAAATTGGATTGAGTCTATTGATTCCTAGAGCATGTAGCCACATCCAGCTAAGTCTAAGAAGCTGAAAATTAAAGGAGATGCAGCTGTTTCTGTCTGGAGCATTCATGAGGTAATAATAGTAACAATAAGGGGAAGGAAAATAGAGCAGTTTCATTGTGATATTTTTTAGAAAGTAAGGATTCCATTGAATATAAAATGGTCATTGATTTTAGGCACTTTGATAGACTAATGTTTGGTTTTAATAGAGTCATTTTCTGAGAAGTGCAAAAAAACCGTGTCAGAGGGAACAACCCTCACGTTGTATAGAGAGGTGCTGCTGAGTAGAAGTGCTGAAGTCCTTTATTTAAATAGGAGTAATTATATTGCACAGGAAACTTGGATTTGAAAGCAGTTCCCCTGATATATTCCTCTTCAGGAGTAATTTTCTGCTGCATTCACCAAAGCCCAAAGGCTGATCTCATATCACATTGGATCATCTGCATTATGGCTAAAATTAAAACAAAGGGAGAGGAAACAAATGGGAAAGGATGTAAAACTCCCAAATGCCAGGTCTAAAAGGAAGTCCTTTTCATCAAGATGGAAGTTGGAATGCCTTTTAGAGTGAACATCTGATGTAGATGGAGGTAAAAAGCAAATAAGGGAATAATTATGCTGCACTTGGTTTCCACCA